CTGAATCAAATGATTAGTTCATTACCAGCCCTCTGGAGAACTTCAAGACATGTTGAGGAGGTCGTTTAGCAATTTAGATCAGCTGTGTTGGATCAAGGACACAACTAAAACCTGCAGGACACTGGCACTCGAGGCCTGGAGTTGCCCACCCCCGGTCTAGAAGGTCTTCCAAAGGGATTTCCAGCTTAGTTTAATAATGACTTTTGGAAACCCCTCTTTGACGTGAGAACAAAGACGAGCAAACTAGTCATGGAGCCTATCACAGCTGTCTTAGGGCAACAGGTAACCAGTCTGTTGTATGGCTAACATATAGAGACAGACAACCATTTATACCTATGGGCAATTTAGAATCGACAATGAACCTAACAGCACTAACTGCATGTCTTTGGGAGGAAGCCAGAGTACCCAGAGAGAAACATGGGAAGAACATGAAAACTCCACACAGAGAGAGCCTGGCTTGATTGTGGACTTGAACTCAACCGTGCTAATCAATGTGCCAAAATGCTGCCTGAAAAAAATATGATTATATTGGCAAATTAATGGGAAGAAATGGAATATCAAACAGAATGAATGCAATGAAAATGTGTCAATTAATGTACATTTATTTGCATTAATCAAGTATTTCTTCAAAAAAGTTTTAGGCACACTGTGTATTTGACTTAATTTTTTTTTCATATCTTGCAAAAATATATCAAACCACCAATCAGTGCCTCATTTATGAGAAGCTTATGAGCTGAAATACAACCAGAAATCATGCGTTTGTCTTACCTCAAATGGTTTCATATGGGTCCGCACTCAGTCAGGGAATTCCCTGTTAAAGTTTCATTTTGAGCAGCATAAATAGCCGGTACAGGGACAAAACGAAAGTGTTGACTACACAGCAGTGAAGCAAAGATGATGTCCCTCTTCCTGATTGTTTTTTGTTTATTCAAAGGTAAGTCTCTCTAAACGCAGCTCCTTTAAATTATTATTTGCTATTATTATATTAATCATAATAACATGATATACAGTTTTACAACCGTGCATTTTTATGGTTTTATGATCCAGATCACATTAATTTGACTTTTAATATGCAGAGGGAAATGTATTATTATGTATTAGACCATTTAAACAGTTCTACCTGGATTTTAAAGTAAAAATGCAAAAACAGAAAAACAGTGCGAGTTGTATTTTGGTGAAATTTACAGTTTATATAGGAGTTTATTTGTCAGGTCTGTTCCTTTTTACTGTGCTGTATTACTGAGTAGCATAAAAGCGTTTTTTTCCCTATCGAGTCTGCACTTATTTACATTCAGCTTCCATTATTTTCAGCCTCGGCTTCACTCAGTCTACATGGAGACACAACAGCTGAGTACGGCAGTGATGCGCACTACAGGTGCGCGCTGTCAAACTCCACAGGTGCGCTTGTTTGTTTTTTAAATTATTATTATTATGAATTCTATTATTCAGTTGTTGTCCTCGCCCAGATCCTAATCTCTGAGCTGCTGATGTTATCCAGAACATTAGTTAAATGTTAACACAGTCTATGCAGGGTGCTTACTGGATTACCTTTTGGCTTTTACCGGCAGGTGTGCTGCAGGTTACTTGGCAAAGGTTCGTCAAGGGGACAGTGGAGGACATGGCAACATACAGCGAGCGCTTTGGAATAGATGTAAAAACGCCCTACCGTGGAAAAGTGCTCGTTACGAAAGAGTCTTTCAGCCCTTCGGCGATCAAACTGACGAATCTCACATGGGAGGATGAGAGTTGTTTATCCTGCGCCTTTAACATCTTTCCTGGCGGCTCAAAAAGAAGCCAGATTTGCCTCAAAGTGCAAGGTAGATTGCTGCAAACCCATTCATATGAACGGACATTATAAGTAACCTCTGAAATTGAGAGAGCCGTTATGTTAAGAAAAAAATAGAGCCAGCTTTTTTTTTTCTTTTTCTTTTTTGTTAAAGAGAGGAAAAAATCCTGACCTTTATTATTACTGTTACTTGTGACATTAAGCTGGCTGCAGTTCTCAAACTGATCAATATTTAATTTGTCCGTAAAGGGATATCAAAGGTGAACACAATGCACCACGCAAAGCAAGATGGAGAAGTTGTGTTTAGCTGCTCCGCCACAGGCAAACCAGCTCCCACCATAGAGTGGGACCTTTCAGATGGAGCCGCAATCGCAGAAGAACCACAGACGGTGACAGTAAAAAACAGCGATCACACGTTCAACGCCAGCAGCAACATAACTGTGAAAGTACCTCCCGGTTGGCGTGGACACGCGGCGTGTGTTCTGAACCGTGGAAAAATTGGAGAGAGGGAAGAGAGGATCGCTTTCTCCTCCTCTGCATCGGCGGACGGGGATGAGCAGAGAGGTATGCACGAGTCATTTTATGTAACCGCATTTATGTATAACACTGGCGTAATGCTTGGAAACAAAATATTCCTAATAAATGAACACGCGCTGGGAGTTCATTCTAATCATCTCATTCAAGCGTAGGTGGAGTTTACAGGGGAAAAGACTTCCATGAAACTATTACTAAATATCTAACTATCGGGAAGTGAAGAGTGAAATTATGAGACAGAGTTTTGAGTGACACCTTAGCTGTGGTTGTTTAGAAAATGATGCAGGTAGGAAGTCCCTGTGGTGATCTGGTCCCAGCTTCCTGGAACGTTCCCAGCAGAGTGCGCACTGACTGAAAGTGATGTCACTCCTCCACCACAGCCTGCCCAGAGTGTGATATTTGGATGCAAATCTTGCTTAAACAGGTTTTGTGTTCTATTTGGTGCTAATCAAACTAAAACATAGACTACTGTTTGTGATTAAGAGCTAACAGGAAGATTCAGACTCACTAAACTTCGTCATTTTTGTTTGTTTGTTTGTTCCTTTTTTCACTTATCAGGAACGCAGGAATTCCCTGAAATTCCAAGTCATGTTAAATCCATTTCCTGATGACTTGGGACAAACTGCGTGACAATGAAGCAGTCAAGGAGTGTCGCACTAGAAAGATAACAAACAAAAGTGACTAAGAGCAGACTGAGTGAATGCTATGCTGTGAGTCAGCTGATGCTTTCAGTACGGCGATGACGCCAGTTTCGCTTCTGGCGAGTTAAAAAAAAAACCACGTCACGATACAGTGAGTGGTGCTGATGAGCTGTAGCTCTCTGGGGAGGTCATCTGACGGATGATGGACATTAGTCGTTTGGCTTTAACAGTAAATGTGTGACCATGTAAATCCCCCCCCCCTCCCCCTTTCCTCTTTCAGAGAAGCGTCAGTCATTTTGTTTCTGGCACAAACTAACCAGGTGCTCTTTGTCTCCCGGGACAGGACCGTCTCCGTCAGCGATCGCACTGATCTGCATCACTATAATTGTTTGCTGTATAGCTGTTGCAGTGTATGTGATTAAAAGGTGAGTTTTTAGTGCTGTTTTATAGCATCTTGGGCAGTTACTTAACAGATGAGCCAGCTGATAAACGGTTTTCTTTTTATTTTCTCTTTCTTTCTAGGAGTTCTAGGAAGCACAACCAGAGAGAAGGATCATGTTCCATGCATGCATAACCAATGTTAGACTTTCTAGCTGCCTTTTGCGATGCAAGCATTACAAACCCCTTTCCTTTGTGAATTAAGGTCAGGCATTGGCAGGTAGCTTCAAACTTTCACATGCGTGGACCTGTCCATTGACATTTCTTATGAACTGCGCTACTCAGCACTTTAATGTCATCGAGCTTTGAGCAAAACATGTTTCATCCGACTCTGAATGTAAAAAAAATTAAAATACACAAATATCATGGAGAAGAAGCGGTGCAAAGCCACAAGGATGTGATAGGAAGCAATCAGCTCGGGGCGGGAATTTGGCATGCGAGAACATTTAAGCAGTAAACCTGTGTGTGTGTATGTGTGTGTGTGTGTGTGTGTGTGTGCTGTGTGTGTGTGTGTGTGTGTGTGTGTGTGTGTGGCTGAGGTTTGTGTGGAAGTAAGGAAATACCCCGTAGGCGGTATTACACTGGGGCTGTGCTGCCATCTAGTGGTCCTATCAGGGAATACAGTGAGGCACAGACGGATGCAGGGTCCACATGGCTCACATGAGGCAACTCAAGGAAACGTTCCTAGCAAATCTGAACAAATACCTCAACAAAATAATTTCTATGTTTAAATGTTATGTAGTAAATGTGTACTTTCAGTTTGGCACTTTTCTGGCAGTTTGCACTCCAGTGTTTGTACTATTATTAAATATTATTTTAAGTAATACAGTGCAGTCAGTATGCAAATGTGCTGGCATTTAGCTTAAATGCATTTAATTTACATTTAAGCTACATGCCAGCTTTAGCTGTGGTGAAATGAATGTGAGTTAGTCCCAGTCTTTATTATGTGTTAACTTGTGGTGTGGTTATCCTAAATGTTTGCACTGATGTATCTTTAATAATTTATTTTCAAATATTATTTATTGTTGAACTAATTAAATGTGTCTAAACCGTGTGTCTGATTTCATTTGTACAATATTTCTTTCATTTTTTCTTTTCTTTTCTTTTTTTCTTTTTTTGCTTGAAAGGGCTCTGGTTGGGCTGAAAATATACTGTAATTTATGACATACAGCTTCTTTGGGATCCTTGTGATAAACCTACAATTTGCAAACCAAAACAAGGATTTTTCTTTTTCTTTACTTACCTGTCATAAAGACTTTCAGTCCAGGTTAAACATAATTTGTTGAAACACATACAGATCTAGAAAGGAAACATGTTTGTGTTAACACCATTAACACAAAAACTGATCATTATGATTAGAAGTAACTGTAGTAGCTGTAGTAATAATGGTAGTAGTGGCAGAATCCTCCCTTAGTTACGCTGCAATAGCTCTAGGCTGCTGGGGGCTTCCCATGATGCACTGAGTGTTTCTTCTTTTCCCCTATTTATGTGTTTATACACCTCTCCGCATTTAATCATTAGTAATTAATAATCCCTGGCTCTCTTGCACAGTGTGTCTTTTGTCTTGTCTCCCTCATCTCACTCCCAACCGGTCGCAGCAGGTGGCTGTCCCTCCCTGAGCCTGGTTTTGCCAGCAGTTCCTGTTAAAAGGGAGTTTTTATTTCTCACTGTTGCCAAGTACTTGGTCAAAGGGGTCATATGAATGTTGGGTTTTTTCTTTAAACTGAGTTGAGTAATAGTAGAAGTATTTAGTCAATCATATAGTACTTTGGGTGGACTATACCACTAAAATGGAAGGGGAAAACCAGACTGACACATATTTTAAACTGGGAATAAGACTGTGCTTGTTAAATAGCCTTTGTTTATTGTATAATAATATTCACATATTATCTTTTTGTCTTAGGGTTTTTACTCAGTTGTTAGTTTATGTGTTTCCATGGTGACCTGATGAACAATTTACCTGAAACTGAGTTCAGTACAATTTGAATTTTTGGCGGCACAGTATGAAACTATGTTAATTCCGTTTTTATATCTTGGAGTCCTTGACAAATATGAGAAGTTGTATCTTAATAAAACAAATGTATATATGACGATATGGGAGTTAGGTATTTTAGTTATAGATGGGAAAGTTAAAATTTTTTAGTGATGATCATCATGGTGAGCTGGCATGTTAGAGAGTTTAATGGTGCAACCTTGTACAGTATAAACATATATTTTCTCACCTCGTGTGGTGTAATTTGTTTAAATAGGCCTCACTCAAGGAATAGCCTGCATTAGCAGGTTAATTTTTAATTGTTAATTTCTAATGCGATTTAACCATAGTACTAAACGTGAATGTATTACTCCGATTGGTGGTGATATATCAATAATGCGCGAATGTAGCAACAGCAAGTTCATTGTGGGAATAAACGCATTCTACCAAGAGTAGCAAAAATTAGCAGATCAAAAACAAGCAAAGCTAAAGGTAGAAGAACAGAAGAGAAGGACAGAAACACTATAGTGAAGGTGCAACTTTTACACATGCGTTTCCTCTCCAGAAATGAGACATGTCAATGAGAGGAAGCAGTTTTGTTGAGCACCAGAAATATGTGGGGTACATATTGAGATGACAGGAGTGACTACAACAACGCTTCCACCTGATATAAGTCTTGTGTCTGTCTCAAGGCAGGATCTAACCTCTGTATAAGCTCTTTCCCTCATGCGCACCATCACTGTGTTGTTTTACTATTTCACTGTTTAGAGATTCCCAAATGATCCTTCAAAGATCTGCAGGTTTTTGTCTCTATGGAAGCAAATTCTTTCAACAGTGTCAAGGTCCTTGCTAAAAAAGTCCTCCTGCCAGGGCATGCGTTACCTGCATGGGAGGAGCATGACTCCCCCAGGGGCCAATAGCCAATCAGAGTGCACACCCGTTCTCTCCTTGCTGTGTCTCCCTGCAGGCAAGTTATGGACTTGGATTGAATCAGACTAAGGCGGGTGTTGTGCCAAAACGTGATTGTCTTCCAAAAACTGATTTCCGGTATTTGCCAATTTTTAAGTGGACAAAAGGGAGCTGATTGATTATAATGTAAGTACAATAACACAGTTACAAAGATACTTGAGAAACAGGTAAATCTTTAATTTTGTATATAACCCCTTTGTAATACCTGTTCACCAAAGTCTATTTAGCAACATATGTAACGATATTACACATAAAAACACACAGAAACATTGAAAATCAGTTTTTTGCACAACACGTGCAAGTGTGCCTTCATAGACCCAGTAAGTCACATTGGGAACGTATTTTATTTCTGTTGCTGTCATGTATCAATGTAAACAGCTGTTATTATTGCCTTGTGTGTTAGCAGCTATGCTGTAGGTAAGTAAGTTGTCGCCTGGCTCCACAGGATGTTCCTTATTTATAAGTTGTTTCAGTTGTTGCCGAGAGTTAATGTTCACAAAGATTTTACCTGATGGAGTTACTAAGTTAGTATACGAGTTTGTTCTTGTTTATAAAGCCTGCGTAAACCTGGCGGCCTTTGAGTGAGTAATTGTGTCCACTAGAGGGTGGTGTTGACTCATAAATGAGGGAATTGGCTTAACCCTGGAGGACACTGTTGGTTTCCCTAGAAAACAAATGGGGTCGGCTCTGACCCCATGGGTTCTCCAGGGTTAAATTGATTATGATTCTGTGTTTATGCCATCCTGTTATGTTGTTATGATAAGCTCTTTTTCTGGTTCTGTTCATTTGTAATCTGGTATGGTGTTCTCTGTAATACTGAAGTGTGAGAAATGCTAAACATTATATTATTTCTTATTTGTATTAATTTCAGACACACATCCTTACTTGCCAACGAGAGTGTGTTTGACGTGGGCTCGTGGTAAATAAAGTTCTTCCACTCTGACGTCATTCCCCGTCTCTGACCGGACGTTATTACCAGCGAAGGGTACAGAATCACGTTTCAGAGATAGTGGTCCAGGGCGTCCGCTATAACAGTCTTCCTTGAGCTCTGTCACTACTGCCTGGTTAAAAAATTCAATGACTCAATCAATCTGTTGCTGCTTCATAGGTTTTCAGGTTAATATTTCCTTCTCGACTGTCTTTTTCTTTAAGGAATCAGGATTTCAGTCATCATATCCTGTCTGTGTTGTTGGTCATCAGCTGCTCTCATCTCTGTCGGGCTTAGGAAGAAATCTCAGGATAAGTACTTCTCTTAAAATTGCTTATGTACCTTTTATTTATCAGCTAATTCAGATGATAAAAGTTTGCGATGATCACTCTTTATCATCCTTTGATTTACACCTATAAAGTGAAATCATTCCTTTTGAGTCTCTGATAAGTTGTGACATTTGAAATTTTTTAAACTTATTTCTGGAGTTTCTTTTATTCTTCTATTTCCTTTCTAATCTGGTGTGAATTGCAAATATCAGGCAAACTCTTGATTGTGCAATATCAACAGTGTACCGCTACATTATTTTATTTTATTTTATTTTATTTTATTTTATTTTATTTTATTTTATTTTATTTTATTTTATTTTATTTTATTTTATTTTATTTTATTTTAACAATTCAGGACACTTTCTGTCAGTTGAAAATCAGCTCTAAAAGCAGACAGCTTTTAGATATTAGCTTGTTACTGTTGTTACTTGAAAATGTTTTTTCAGTTTTTACATCATGGGTGAGGGAACTTGACTGCTAAAAAAGCGGCAGTTCCTTTACTTTAATTAATATTATGAAGAAGTTGAGTTCAGTAGTTGAATTATATTCAAGGCTTTATTCAACAATCCTGTGTAACACATGTGTGTTAGGCAGGTTGTATAGAAAAACGTGGTCAGATTCATGCTTCTGATTGGCAGGTGACACCTGGTTGCACTTTCTGTTAGCATTCAGCTTTGTGTTCTGTAACTACAGGGGTTCAACAAACAATTGCAACGCATCACACTGATGTCTTCGGAAGTTTATTTTTCTCTCTCTCTTATTTTCTTCAGGCATTGTGAAAACTGAAGAAAACACAAAGTTTACAA